AAAAAAAAAACCAAAAACATTAAAAATAAAAAAGTAGTCAGAGCTTGCAATAGAAGACTCCCAAGTCCCTCTATAGAAATGGTAAGTGAATCCTTGAGAGATCTCAGAATAAGTGTGTGTTGGGGGGAAGGGCAGCCCCGAAGGGCAAAGGATATGCACATTGTCTGAAATCATGTACAAATAAACTTATTAATAAGTACAAATTAGACCTAAATTTAAATTCCATCAGTGAAGTCAAGACTCCTCAAAATTTACTAGAATGTAAGCTGCATGGGAACAGGAATTACTATGTTTCCTTCACTTCTCTACACCTGCTTACCTTAGTGCCACATAGTAGACACACATATTTGTTTAATTAATGTATGTTTTATTTTTCTCTTCAGAGTGCTGCTTGCCCTTGTAGTTGCCTATTTTTCTATTAAATTATTGGGGTTTTCCCCCTATGAGCTCTTGGTAAAATAAGAAAATTAACCATTCTCTATGTGTTGCAAATATTTTTACCCAGCTTGTGTTTTTATTTCTCAGTATATCTTGCCACTTAGGTCTACATGTTTATGAAATCAAATGTATGAACCTTTTTTTTTATGCTTCTTATATGCCTAGTCACTGCAAAATAAAAACACGATTCACATAGGCTTTCTTCTTGTTCCATCTATGTGGCTGTAAGGATTTTGTTTTATTTTGTTTTCACCCGATGCTTCTATTTTAGTCTCTACTGATTGGGGGAAAATGTGTTGCATAGAATGTAGAGTTGTTACACAGGCAGGGAATCACTAAGGTAGAGAGTTTGAATTTGTACCTAAACACTGATAAATTTTCATTTCGGGATATTAATCTCCTTTCCCAAACACATAAAAATAACTTTGCATCTTTTAAAAAATTACAAATACTATTTATGTACCTTGTAAAAAGTTGAAGTTATCAGATATATTTAGAATAAAAAGCAAAAACCTTCCTTTACTTTCTCTCTGTGTCCATAATTCCATTCTCTAAATCTCATGCACTCCTTATGGATTCATAATATATACACATATATGAGTGGTGCTTTCTCTGCTTGATATTAATAAACAGCATCTATGATATGCTACATAAACATTCAGTATATAGTTTCTTTTTCTAAATTTTAAGTCTATTTTTATTCTTTTTTTTTTTGCAGTATATAGTTTCTTAATGTAGAGTTTCTAAAGCCAATATACTATAGCTGTTATCACATTAGTGAACTGAATGTATATACACATTTATAATAGCTTTGCATTGGCTGCCTTCATTATTAAGACATACCACAGTCTAATTAGTCACTCTATTCTTGGGCACTATTTTCCTGTTTTTAAACATTATAAGCAATGCTGCTGTGACCATCCCTATTCATATTTTTGTATTTATATGTGATCATTTCTACAGATGGAGTCCTAAAAAATGGAATTGCTGGTTTAAAGGTGACATGCATTCATAGCAGACTGAAGTTTGGGAAATGTAGAGAAGCCTCTGTACCATTCACAGCTCACTATAATGACTCCACCTTGCATTCTGTTTCAGGAGTGCTATTGAAAATAGGTCCGTTGTTGTTGTTGTTCATTTGTTTGTTTAAAGTGTGAATTTCTGAACATGAAAATATAAAGTAGAAAAATATCTATAGTTTCATGTATGCTTTGCCCAGCAGTTCCGCTTTTCAGGATCTATCCAATAAAAACATTCTCATGAAGTGAAATAGCATAAGTTCAGTTCTATAAACCAGCTAAGAGACAAAGGGGTTAGCTAAAGTGTTAATTAGTGGGCTGAATGCTCCCAAGGAAAGTTACCTGTAATACTTTGACAGAATAATCAGTCACATGACTGGAGTAGAAATTAGGAGAGCATCTCCACAGATAGATCGGGAGGATGGGACATCTCTCTCCTCTCTTGGGAGCAGGGCCCACCAGCTAGGACTGTGGTCCAGGCTTCTAACACTTCTCGTAATTAAGAGCTCTGAGTAAGCTGCTCTGAGATGCAGTAGCTTTGCCGACTGAGCCCACCCAACTGCAGGAGGTGCCTTACCATCCCAGGGTTTGTTCTGGGAGCTACTCCGTAAACAGAAGGGTTGCCCTCTTCTGGACCAGGAAAACTAGGAGTCACCCAAGAGATCCTGTGTCTTTTCCCACCCTTCCTCTTTCCTGTTCTTTCCGACTTTGCTTGGCTTGAGGCCAAAGTGTCTTCTAAGAAGGAAAGTAATGGAACTTTAGTTAGGGTTTTGACATTCAAAACCGTAACAACCTTGTAAATTTGATAGCAATCACCACATTGCCTTCTAAAGAGGAAGTTCTACTTCATTGTTCTTTGAATGGTTTCCTTGACACCTTGATGGAACTCATTAAGCTCATTAACTTAGTTTTTGCCAATCTGATTTCTCCTTATTGTCTACATTTTCTTAAACAATCCTATTATAAAAAGATACTAAAATCTTTACACCTGTTTGTGGACTATTTGTATTTCTTCTATGAATTGCTTGCTTATGACCTGTGTCTTGTGTTTAAATGGGTTGTCTTTCCCTCACAGATCCATAGAAATTCTTGATATATTCTGAATATGAACCCTTTTCATAATACTGTAACTGCAATTGTTTTCTGTCCGTCATCTTAATAGAGGTTCCACCATACAGATATTTTATATGTTTGTGTGTTTAAAACATGATGAACCCTAGTTTCCCCCTTCCACCTCCCCTCATTCTCCAGCTTGTGGAAGGAGAGTAAAATACAGTTCCTGGGACTGGGCGGGCTACTAAGAATTCTGAAACCTTGCAGGGACTAGTAGAATAAGAAGACACTGTTGTTTATGAAGTTGCATATAAGCTTTCTGATAGACCCGCATTGCTTTTTCAAGCACTCACAATATGGGGGGCAGGGCTGGGGGCGGAAATCAACACAAAAGTTATTTACATAAGTAAACCCAGAACTGAGATCCTGCTCTGAAATGGAGACACTGCAGAAGTTATGGCACTGCTTAGGAGAACTAAACTGCCTTTTGCTAAAGTAACAGTTTTCCCATGCCGTAGGCAGTCAGAGCTCTAAGTTAGGATTTAGACTGCCTACTCCCTGTTGCTTACTCATTTTGAGATGCACGTGTTCTTTAAATAACTGCTTACAGTGGATAAAACCTCAAGACAGCCAGGAGAGGCTGGCAGAGTCTTCACCTAGAGTGGGAGGCACAATTGTATGTGAAAAAGATTAGTTTGGTCAAAATCGGTCTTTAGCCAGGTTACTGGTTAGAACTGGGCAACCCAAGCCTTGAGAAATGTTGGAAAAAAGAATATTTCTTTTTACTATTAATGTATAAGGGGATATTGTAAAAAAGTGGTCTCTTGTCACTTAATGGGTGTGTCTCTAGTCCTGGGGTTTACCTGAGGTGACTGTTCTGCTGAGGGCACAGCACTTTGAGGAGGTCTCCTCTATATGAAGTAGACAGTCCCACATCAATCCTAGCCCCAAAAGCCTGTTCTTGGGACAGGACATGAGGAACATGAGGATTTGGAAAGCAGGACTTACATGGGAATTGAGGAGGATGTACTAGTTTCTTTAACCTTTCTCTCTATACTGTACTGAATGGCACCCTACGGTAGTGTGGGGAACATAGCTTTTACTTGTCCCTAGGGATGCAGAGGCCATATCCTATGAAACAGTGTGATTTTAATTCAGAGACTGCATCATCCATAGAATCCTAGCAAATGCCCAGCCATGTATGTACACTGCCTAAAAATTCTGGTCTCAGTGGCCATTCATTTGAATCATAGTTCCAATGTAGGCACTATGATGTTGGGCACATTGCTTAACCTCCCAACTCTGTTTCTTCATTTCCAAGATGAGATTATTCTGGCTTGCAGGATGGATGGGAGGAACACAGATGATACATAGGTGGTAACTGACATAGTGGGCAATGACTGGTAGATAATATTCTTATTTCCTGAACTGATGGGTTTTGTGCCAAGAACTATGCCAAGAATTCTTTAGATTATCATCTATTGTAATCCTAACAACCCTTGAAGATAGGTCATCTTATATCACTTTTACAGGAGACAAAAAGGAAGTAAATTGAGGTGAAGCCACTTGCTCAAGGTCAAAAGGCATGACAGGGGAAGGAAGAGGTGGAATTTGACCTAGGTTAGGGTGACCGCTGCCTTCTTGGCCACTACTATAAAGCAGCATAAAGGCCACCTAAGAATAGCAGATGGCTTCTCCCCTGAGCACATGACTTTGCAGATCCCCAAATCCTAAAAAGGACAGAGTGGATGAAGTGTAACACTGGTTTAATTCTGAAGATCATGAACAAGAGAAGGGTAGTATGGAACTCAGGAGAAACTAAAAGAGCAAAGCAACCTCAAGGAAAATTGGCCTAGATGGGCAAATTCCCTAAACATCGTTCACTACTCTGATGTCCCAGGAGCCACCTTTAAAATTACAAAATTTGTGTGGGTTACTTCAAAGGCAATCCGTAGGAAGGGAAAGAGCTAGCAATGTTCTGAACACTTTCCATTTTTTGTTTGTTTTTAGTAAAACTGGGAAAAGAACAAAGGCTGCCTCCTAGAGCTGTTGTTAAACTTAACACAAATGCCAGAAGGTCCATCACATAGGAAGGGCTTTGTTTCAGTGCGGGGACACATTGCCACTTTGAATTATACCCAAGTCTGTGGCTCTTCTCTCTGGGGTCATTTGACGGCGCGTGATTACGATGCTTAGTATGCAAAGGCTGGAGCTATTAATTGAATGTTGCTAGACAATGAATTATTTCACAAACATTGAAATATAAAAAGTATGCGGACATTATTAAGAATGCTTTTCTCAAGAGCGCTACTTTAACAAGAAAGAAAATGCACATCCCATTCTTCTCCCTAAAGTAACATCTCCAAAAGATAAAAAACACTAACACATTCGTCCCTGAAAGGCAGAGCCCGGGAATTCTGGAGCTCTGAACACCCCCTCCCGTTCTGCTAGGGACCGAACCGCCGGCCTCGCCTGGTGTCACAGAAGTCCCCGGTGCGCCAAGCAGATGTGTTTACTCCAGCCGCCCGCCACCCCGGCGGGGAAGGGGAGTACCCTGGCCGCCCCTCACGTTCGTCCCGGCAGCTCTCCAAACAACACCAGGGCGGGATGGGAGTGTCTTCTTGGCTGTGGAACCTGATCCTCCTACCTTGTCCTGAAGCCACCCGCCGCTTCCCCCCGGCCCTCCCGTCGTGGTGATTTTCCGTCCCAGACGCCCGGCCAGGGCGCGCGGCTGGTGTCCGCCCAGCCCGAAAGGTAGGGCTCGGCGGCTTCCCTGCCTCCCTGCTCCGGAGAGCGCGGAGCCCCCACAGCCCCGCTCTGCACTGCACCTTCCTCGGCGAACTCGGGGGCGGCCGTGGTCCCCGCGCATCCGGCGCCAGCAGCCCAACGGGAGCAGCGACCTCAAGGCTCCGGAGGCGCTCAGCGCAGCCGCCTGGGATCCGGACCCCAGCGGGCGGGCGGACTCCGCTCGGCGCCGCGCCTTCCCCGGCTCCCCCTGCCTGACCGGCGGACAAGGAATCGTGCGGGCGCTGCCCTTGGCCCGGGCCACCTTCCTCCGGTTTCCGCCGGCCGCGGGCTCCGGCGGCCCGATGCTGCAGGCGCCGCGGGAGAGGCAGCGGCCGGCTGGAGTGAGAGACGGCGGGCGGCCGGAGAGCCGGGGCCCCCCTGCCGCGGAGCTCCGCACGCCTCTGCGGTCTTCGCGCCTGGGCCTCGGCGGGTAACTCCCTCCCGCCGGCTTCTCTGCGGGTTTGCATTGCCGGGGTTGGGGTGGGGGTGGGGGTGGGGGTGCGAGGAGAACGGGTTCCTGACCCGGATCCGGGCGGCCTGGGGTCTGTGCACCCCGGCGTGTGGGGTGCGGAACCGACAGCCCCTGCACTCTCCCTACAAACCCCAGAGCGCAGCGTGCCCTTGGCCCCCCGGGTTTAGAGGGTGGGGGGCACCCGCCCAGTAGCGGAGCCGCGGGGCGCTTGGCCCCCCAGGGCGGGAGGAGGGGCTGCTGCGAGCCTAGAGGACCTGCTTTGGGACCCTCTTTCCTGTAACCTCAGGAGAGTTTGGGCACTCGAGTGTGACCAGGGTGGGGGCTCTTGGCTTACTGTTTGTTTTGGGGTTTTTGTTTTTGTTTTGGTAAAAGGGTCTATACTCGAACAGGGACTAGAGGTCTGGAAGGTGCTCGTCTTTTAGAAAAATTTCCAAGAAACCCTCCTTCCCGCCACGGTAGAACTAGACCTAACAAAACAAGCATCGAGGCAGTTTGGGGGAAAGAGCGGCGGTGAGAAAATTGCAGGGTTTGGGCTGCCGTTCGTTTTCAAGGTTAAAAAAAGAAGAGATTTGTCATTTTGAGGCCGCTTGCTCTAGAGTTCCCTGGAGGTCTCAGCCTCTTTCTTGTGTGCTGTTATTTTGGCTTAAAAGAACATCTAGAAACGATTTCCAGAAACTAAAAACCCCAAACACCTTATAGGATTTAAGCAGAAGGGGCGGGGAGGGAGGTGGGGGGAGGGTGCTTGCTGTTAAAAGGTAATACTTAAAAGCTGCATGTAGGAGTGGGGATGGGAATGACATCGTGGATGCCATCAGAAACCACATTAACCGCAGATTCTAAACTGAAAAAAAGTCACATGCATCTGAATACTATGATGAGGTGGAGAGTTAAGCAAACTCCGCAGGACAGGCAGAAGCTTCTTTTCCTCTTTGACTGTTGGTTCAGGTTTCTGATGGCTGTCTGTACTATCTATGCCAGAATGGATATTTGACTTTCTGGTCTTCAAAGTTCCTCTCCCCGCCACAGATGATGACCCTTTTAATTTACAGAGAGATATTAAGTATTAAGCGATATTAAGAGATATTAAGTATTAAGCTCTGGTTGGCTGCCAGGTTATCTTCCTTTTGAAATCACGTCAATTTGACCTTTGTAAATTGGTTTGCATTGCTTCCTTTTCTTCGCACCCAGGACTGCTTTTCACACCCAAGTCTTCAAAAGAGACATTTAGCTTGTTTCGTAGCCTCTTGTGTCTGAATAAGGCCAGTTGCCTCAGAGACACTTCAGATAATGGCAACTTTGGTTTATAAGAACTTTTTCAGACACTGATTGTGTTACCCTGATCTGGCTTCATAAGCGTCCTTAATTGTTCCTGGGGAAGAGGGAGGGAGAGAGGAAATATTTATTTCTTGCTCAATAGGGCTTCCCTGAAGCAATATTTTTACCATACTCCCTCAGTCGCAGAGTGTACATCTCCAGATAATGGTGGAATGAAATGAGACCATGTTGCAGTAGATGTGTTGGAAGTGTTCAATTTGTTCTTATGCCCCAAATCAATAAAAATCTTTGAGGCCCAGAAAGGAATGGACAGTATTGGCAGAATACCATTGAAAGACATACTGTTAAAAAAAAAACAAAAAACAACAACCCCAAAACGTAAGTCTGTCTTTTATGAAAATTATACTCCTTAAGTTGTCCAGAGTGAAGTGACAACTGCTTTCTTCTCTTGGAGATATTTCTGTGTTCCACATTGTGTGGAATATTATAGGAGAGAGGTGAAATAATGGCGCGTTTCCCATATTTCTCTGATATACATCCTTTGCTACCCATGCAGATTACCATGTGGCTTCCATGGGAATGATGATTCCATCCAGGGTTGGGGGTCAGATATCTGTTTGATAGGCATTCTAGGTAATGCTTATATAGGAAGTGAGGAAAGCACAAAACTCATGTGGCACTCACTGTGATCCCCAGGTGTTCACATGTGTTATTTTATTACATCTTCCCACCAACTCTATGAGACAGGAATATTTAGCCCCCATTTTATAGTTAAAAAACTAAGATTGTCCTAGTTTAAGGGATTTAGAATGGATCACATGGATGTCTGTTTAACCTCTGCCTTCCACCATCCCACGAAGCCTTCATAGCATACATTCCTCGCAAATTCTTCCATTTTTTATACATATCATTCACCTTTGCCTCTCACACTCAAATTATATATCATACCCCCTGATCTGAATATACTTTCTTAATTATCCCTCAGGCTGAGATTCTCGAACAGGTGGTCTGCATACTTTATCTGCCTTTCCTTCTGAGAACTTCAGACTTTCATCAATTAGGTATCTTCTTTCTGTTCTGTATCTTTGACGGGCCACTTTGGTGTGCTGTGTCTGGCCAAATTCAGTAGGATGTGTTATCTCTAATGAATTGTGTTCAAAAATTCTTTTCATTCTGAATATATTTTCACTGAGGTTCCTACTCAACCTTCTTGCCTAGAAGAAGTCTTCCCAGGGCTACATCCCCACGTTCACAGTTGAAATTAACCTCTCCTGTTTATTGTAACTACAATGGATACCAGTACACATCAGAATTTCCAGGGGAATCCTTTAAGGGCTAAAAACAAATATATTTGTTACCACACCTTTCCTGTTTGTTGTAACTACAATGGATACCAGTACACATCAGAATTTCCAGGGGAATCCTTTAAGGGCTAAAAACAAATATATTTGCTACCACACTGTATGTTAATTATACTTCAATAAAGATGTATTTGATTTGAAGTATGCTTGGTGTATGGCAGACAATGGATACACTGGATATTATAGCATGTCAGGAGGAAACTGTATTTCTGGCTCTGTATTAGGAGATCAGAAGTATTGTTTCCTTAGCATGGTGAGGTAGCAGCAGTTCTTTCCGCTGATGGTGATTCCCCAGCACCTAACAAGCAATAGGGCCTTAGACTTGGTCAGGAAGTTGGCTGCCATACAGTCAGGCTAAGGAGGGGTGAGATTCTAGGGGTGAGTTTATGAGGGTAAAAGAAAGTAAAGAGTGGTAGGACCTGAGTCTCTTTCCCATGTGCATATTTCTTTTTCATGGAGACTTTTGGTCATCCAGTGGGGAATGGCCAGCTTCCCATTTACTATCACAGCCTTCTGTATTGACCAGGGAAGGGCTTCCCTCTTCTTGGGAAAGAGAGGAAGGAAAGCACCCAGCCCTTAGGAAATTTTTTTTTTTATCATAAACACTGAAAAGCAAGTGAAAAGGTGCTCTTCTTCCCCACTCTCTCTTTTTGCCCTTATCCATAAGACACAGTGTGCCTAGTAGCATGTAATGCTGGTCTTTGAAGGAGTCTAAATCTTGAGCTACCTTTATCTGGTTGGGAATGGAAAGATCTGTAGGAGATGAGGAGAATAAGGCCTCCAGAGGAGGACATGGTAAGGAAGCTAGAGATTCTTGAAAGGGAGGCGGGGGTTACCTCCTGCCAGGTTGTGGAAGCCAGGTCCAGAGTTGCTATGGTTGTGGATTACAGTCCCTGTGGTGAAGGCCGAGGTGATAAGGAAGCAGAGAGTGGTTTTGCAGTGTATCTTGGGTGGCTTTCTACATAGTCATCCATAAGGTGGGACTTGAGATTCAACTAATATTTATTGAGTATCCGTTACATAATAGGAGATGTTCTCGGTGCTGGAGGTGGGGGTAGGGCACACAGTGTTGAGCAAGATAGAGCCCTTGCTCTTAGCAGTCTTATGGTTTTGTGGGAAAGGGATCAATAAACAAGGTACAAATAAATGAAAAAAAAAAAACATCTTTCAGATACAGGCCAATGCACTTCAGAGTGTGTTAGAGAGGGAGTTTCTTTAGAGCAATCAGACCTCTGAGAAGTGGTTTTTGAACTGAGATGTGAATGATGAGAAGCAGCCATCAAGTGAAAAGCAGAAGGAAAAGCATTCTAGGAAGAGGAAACAGCAACTTCAAAGGCCCTGAGGCATGAATGAATTTGGGGGTATTTGGAGAACTTGTAGAAGCAGAGGACTAAAAAAGGGGAATTTGGAGGAGGTGCAGTCAGGGATGTGGGAGGCAGTTTATATGAAGCCTTCAAGTCTTGGAAAGGAACGTGAATTGTGTTTTAATTAGAATGGGATGCCACCAGGGATTTTTAATTAGAGATTAAGTCAGTCTTCACCCAATGGGCATGGGCTTTCCTGTTTGTGTCTCTTAATTCTTCTCCCTCATTCACACACACACACACACACACACACACTCGCACATGCACATTCACCCTCAGCCAGCTTTACTTCCCTCTCTTAATTCGCCATCACTGATTTCTCCTTCCTTGCCCCAGGCCATGGCTCAGGCATCCACCCAGAGAAGCAGGGCTCAAAGGACCCTGGACCCTGTTCCTCTTATCCTCTGAAATAAATCCATACACTTGCTTAGTTTCACCTTTATGCATAAGACTGTCCGTCACTAACTCTGTTTTCTCAACCTCTCTGCAAACTGAACCTGTAATTATCTCTAAGAAGTCCCTGGGTTGGCTGATGATGTCTGAAACTAGATACTGAAAATTAACTTAATGAAGCAAATCAATTGCAATTGATAGCTTATGTAAGATAATGATTGTCACAAGAGGCAAAAATTTAAGTAATCCAGAAACCCTTGCCTTTTCCTGAATATCTGCTCATTCTCTCCCAGGCTGACATCTACACAGCCTGTTATGGGAGGTTTATATTGTATTTAGGTATACTTTCAGTGGAAATGTGCAGGATTCTTGTAATATTTGTCATGGGAATGTATTAATGTGTGAGAGATTTCATTTCTATTGGTCTCTGTAGATGATCTCAGAGTAGTACTTAAATCTTGAAGGCTTATGTCTAAGTTGATATCTCCTAAGTTGATATCATTGGTTTATAGGAAATGAACAGAAGGTCCCAGCATTTTATCGATTATGCTTTGACTCTAGGATAGTTCCTCATTACCAGTTTGTTACCCTCTGGGTATGCA